TGCCTCAGACACTATGCCATCAGAGCTCCCTAAAGTATTATATATTATTACTATATAGTATTATATATTATATAGTATTAATACTTATATATTAATATGGAGGGAGCTCTGGTGGCACAGTGTCTGAGGCATTTGACCGCTAACCAGAAGGCTGACAGTTCAAACCCACCAGCTGCTCCTCAGAAGGAATATGGGCAATCTACTTCCATAGAGATGCAGCCTCAGAAACCCAAGGAGGGGTTGCTATGAGTTGGATATCAACTCAACAGCAGTGAGTTTGATTTTTGGAGTTTTATATATTAATATATAGTATTAATAATACTATAAAGATCATAAAAGAAAATGAGAGGCAAACATAGGAACCCTAATACATGACATAAGTACAATATCCAACATAAATAAAAAACACACAAACAGAAGACAAACTAGATGGCTTGGATCTCCTAAAAATTAAACGTTTATGTGCATCAAAAGACTACAAAGAGAACAAACACCCTGTGGAAAAAAAAGTTGAGCAATGATACACTGGACAAGAGACTAAACTCTAAAATTTATAGAAAACTTCAACACCTCAACAACAAAAAGACAATCCAATTAAAAATGGGCAGAGGACGTGAATAGATACTTTACCAAAGAAGACATGAAGGTGGCCAATAAATACATGGAGAAATACTGTGGTCATTAGTCATTAGGGAGATGCAAAACAAAACAACAATGGGATCATCCCAGCATTGCTAACAAAGCTAAAAAAAAAAAAAAAAAAAACCATAAAACAAATGCTGGTGATTATGTGGAGACACTGGAGCCCTCACACACTGCTGGTGGAACTGTAAAATGGTGCAACCACTGTGGAAAATAGTGTGGAACTTTCTTAAAAAATTGGAAATAGAAATACTATGATCCAGCCATCTCACTACCAAACCAAACTCACTGCTGTCGAGTTGGATCTGACTCATAGCGACCCCTCCTTGGGTTTCCAAGGCAGTATCACTACAGAAGTGGATTGCCCAATCTTCCTTTCGAGGAGTGGCTGGTGGCCACTACTAGGCATATAATCTACAGAAATAGAACCTGGGACACAAATAGATATGTGCACACCCATGGTCATTACACCACTATTTACAATATTAAAAAGATGGAAACAACCTAAGTACCCATAAACACATGAATGAATAAACAAACTATGGTACATACACAGAATGGAATACTACAAAATGTTAAAGAATAACTAATCTGTGAAACATCTCATAATATGCATGAACCTACTAGACTGCAGGCTGAGTGAATTAAGTTAATCACAGAGGACAAATATTTTATAAGATTACTACTATAGAAACTCAAGAAAACATTTACACACAGAAGGAAACATTATGGAAGGGAAAGAGAGGGTAAATGACTACAAAGTAAGACAGGTATTAACTTAGTTGAAGGGAGAAGTAATATAAAATAAAAAGGAGATCAGCACAAATTGGTCAAGGCAAAGGCAGGCACTGGGAGGAGCGCAAGAAACACAGCCAACAAAGGTAAATAGTATTACATACACAGCTCGACAAAACAGTAAACAATAATCTATGAGTGGATACTGATAAACATGCAAGCTGAACAAGTGTGGGAAGGCAAATAAGACTACACCCATGAATACTTAAAGTTCTGACAAGAGGATTTTCTACATGTTTATTTATATGTGCTGTAAATACTTCCAAGTATATAGTAGTAGAGCATACAGGGAGCAAAGTAATGAAAACTTCTTCACTAAGTGTTTGGTTACAAACACTTAGAAGGATATGCTAGGCCTAGGGGACCTAAACCTGGAGGACATCAAATTCAATTAGCATAACATAACCCACAAAGAAAATGTTCTACATTCTACTTTGGTGAGTAGTGACTGGGGCCTTAAAAGCTTGTGAACGGCCATCTAATGTGCAACTACTGGTTTCTTTCCATCAGAAGCAAAGAAAAGTGAAGAAAACCAAAGATCCATGGAAACAATTTATCCAAAGGACTAATGGATCACATAAACCACAGTCTTCATGACCCCAAGACCAGAACAACTAGATGGTGCCCACTACCACTGACAGATGTGAAAGGGATCACAAGAGAAGGTCTTAGATAGAGTGGGAGAAAAGTGTGGAACAAAACTCAAAATAATATTAATAAAAGGCCAGGCTTACTGGTCTGATAGAGCTTGGTGGGACCCTCAAAACTATGGCCTTCAGACATCCTTCAGGCTTGGATCTGAACTTAACCCTGTGTCTCATCTTTTAGTCAAATGATTGGCCTATTAAGGTGAACAAAAAATCAGGGAGGTATGCACTCTGACAATCAACCATACAAGATCAAAAGGCACCATTTGTCACGGATAAAGCTCAGAAGATAGAAAAGGGATAGGAAAGAGTGACAAATGCAAATGGAAAGAGTGCTATTATGAGGATTACAATCAATGGCATGAAACAAATGTGTATGAATTACTGAAACTTCACCCAAATTACAATAAAAAGTTTAAAAACAACAACAAAAAAAGTACCACTGAATTGATTAAAAAAATTGAATGCCTTTATGGCAAAAATTAAATATGAAATCAAAAGCTGATTCTAGATCATTGCTGTATCTTGCTTTTGCTGTTACTTGAAGCTATGACTGGTGGAAATGACTTGACACAATTGCCTAAATTTAATGTGGGCAGTACAAGTTTTTCTCCTGAAGTGGTGTGGATAAGACAACTTTTCTAAACATACATGTTAATAGTTCATATACATAATTCCCTAGTCTCATGTGGTCTAAATTTCTTTTTTAAAGTATAATATTTCAAGTAGGCTAAAGTCTAGATTGTAACAAGAATTTTGTTTACAAACCAAATCAAAAACCAAACTCACTGCCGTTAAGTCGGATCCCACTCATAGCGACCGCTCCTTGGGTTTCCCAGGAGAATCACCACGGAAGTAGATTGCCCATCTTCCTTCCAAGGAGTGGCTGGTGGGTTTGAATCGCCAGCCTACTGGTTAGCAGTCAAATGCCTTAGGCACTATGCCACCAGTGCTCCTTGTTTTCAAACAGTAGGCTACAAATCAAAATACTACAAATAAAATGGATGCCTCCGATTTCTCTCTCATCAATCCAATTTCCTTTCTCAGTCCCCACAAGTAACCACCACCAAAACCTGTGTATTTTACTTTTTCTACAAACATAACCACAATACTTAATATCATTTTGTGTATTTTATATAATTTGTAAAATAAAACATGCATTGTTAGAAACGATGCTAAGCATTTAAGCTGGACTTAAATCCTGATTCTGCCATTTCTGACAGATAACCTTCCAAAAGCTGCTATTTAGGGCACAGTGATTAAGGCGTTGGGATGCTAACAAAAAGGTTGACAGTCAAACCTATCAGCCATTCATTCTGTGGGAGAATGATGAGGCAGCCTGCTTCCATAAAGATTACAGCCTTGGAAATCCTATGGGGTGGATCTACTCTGTCCTACAGGTTCACTGTGAGTTGAAATTGACTCCAGGGCAGTAGGTTTAATCTCCCACTCCTTCGTCTATGCATCAGTAAATGAATTAGTGAAGCTATAGAGTCATTATTAGTTGGAATTGCTAATGGGTTTGGTTTTGGGTTTTATATCAAAATTTAAGTGAGAGAATATGTAAAATGTTTTCTAAACTAGAGGATCCTGATAAATGGCAGGTCTTAATATTACTTGTCTGGTAGATACTATTACTTGTTTGATAGCGATGCATTGAACAAGAGAACAACACAAATATCCGGGTTGACGCATGTTACATTAAAAAAAAAAAAAATGCATCCCAATTATACAGCTTGCTTTTATTAAACAGGGGGAAAAAAAACACACAAATATTTTCCAAAGAGGCAGGTATTCAGTAGCTTTTCAATTGAAAATGAATTTAACTTCACAATCAGCTTGTCTGACCACAGCTCTTAGGTAAGTGAGCAGTTAAAGTAGAAACCAAACACCAACAAGCTCTAGATCCAGAACAGATCTAAGCCAGCAAATTAGGCATTGCTTTCCTTAGCAGTTTGAGCTTTAATGTAAATATATATTATCATTTAGAATATTATCATCTGAACTACATAACAACTTTATCATTTCACTTGCATTAATAACAAGATTTCTGGAATTTCCAAGTAGTCTTTAAAATTTTCCAATACAGACATAAACTAAGCCCTATTCCTCTCTACATACTAAATGTGAGACAACTGTCACAATTTATCAACGTTTTCACAGGAAGATTTTTTAAGGCTCCTGGCAGATAGTATGTGTAATATCTGTATGACAATAATGTCATCATTATGTACAGAAAACATTTAAAATTCTCTTTGTGCAATTTAAGTTCTAAAGATTAAAAAAACAAAGTGTTGCATGTTAATAAAATATTAATACTATGATCGTTCCATGAATTTGACAATGATTACAAAAGAACATACAGATAATGTCTTGCACACTAAGTGATTTGGCATTAAAAATATCTATTGAACGTAATAAACTTATTTGATATTACTAATTTTCTAGATCCTTCTTTTAGCAAAAAAAAAGGCTTTAGCATAACTTAGAAATGTTTCCAATTACACAATAACACTGAGGCAACAAATATCAGATGTGTTTCTCTAGCAATTTACGTGTCAAACCAACATAAGTCCATGAATCTTAATTTATTCTTTTGTCTAAGTCACCATTATAGAGTACTCTTCAATAAGTACATGAAATCAACAAAAGGTGATTATTTCTCGTTTAAAAAAGGAAAAGTCATTTACACCTTGTCTTAAATTCTAAAGCAGCATATTCAGTTGTGAACGCAAAAAGACAAAAAAATAAATTATAAATTCTCATTCTCGACATTAAAAGCCACAGAGAAAATTCTCATACTTTAATAGATAATATATTAGTATACATCTGAATATACATTTGCAAACATTCTCCATTAACATGAAGTTGGCCCGGGAAGCGGAGGTGATGAAGTGCAGTATTGCAAGGCAATATTTAACAGTCGTCCTGTGCATCAGGGGGTACGGAGTGGCTGATTCTTGGTCTTCTATTCACAGAAATTGTATATGGTGGGACAGTAACCTAAGAGGGGGCAAAAAAAAAAAAAAAAAAGCACTTTCCACCTAGCCATTTAAAATGAGACTGCTGTTGAATTTTTAACAATTACATTTGAACTTTTTGCTTAATTGCAAAGGCTAACATTTAGTATTTATCATTCAATAAGTGATAAATCATCAAAGATAAATGTTAACTCTACCATGAAATTAAAAATGAGAGAGTTGTTATTTCCATAACAAACAAGTTAAATAATCCATTAACATCATAGTCTTTACAAAATTACCAAATCAACACAAAGGACAAGAGCACAAACAGACTGCAGGACAAGCTGTTAAAGAGCATTTTTAGCGAGATTAATTCTAACTCCCTTAATTCATTCTCCCTCAGCGAATGTAGAAACCTAAATTCCAGAAACCAGTGAATTTTACATTTTTTTGTATTGATGGCATAGATTAGCCTGAAACTCCCCTCTCAGTGACCCTTTACTTATAAGAAGAAACAGCCTTTGGTTTTTAAAATGCTTTCATATGAATGACCTGAAAAATCAAATCTGTGATTGTTCTGCCAAAACAATAGCATCATGAAAACCTCACTGCTTTTGAGTTGATTCCAACTCACAGCAACCCTATAGAATAGAGTAGAACTGCCCCATAGGGTTTCCAAGGCTGTAAATCTTTACAGAAGATGACTGCTACATCTTTCTGCCAGGGAGCGGCTGGTGGGTTCAAAACACCCAACTCTTGGTTAGTAGCCAAATGCTTTAACCACTATGACAAAAGGTTTTTTTCCCCCCTCACTAAATACCTATAAATTCAACAGTAAAGTCTTCTATTTGCAAAGAAACTGTAAGTGAATGAAAAGTATTAAACAAGAACTTTCTAAATAGCTTGAAATTCCAACATGAAGAAAATTCATCTGGTTTCTGAATACTAAAAATGTGTAATACTGCTAAAATTATATGTAAAATATATTATTTATTTGTATATATTATATCCATGTATACTAGACATAAAATATGATAAAGATATTTTAAGAAAAATGATTTTATCTATAGTTTACTAATTTAGATTCATAACCAAACATTATTATTTTCTCCCAAGAAGAGAACTGAAGTACAAAAGATCCTATGCCTAGCAACAGTATAAGTCTGTGAAAATGAAAGTAAAAAAGGCAAATTTAGTTTAAACTTGGTGTCCTTGAACATTTCCCAGTCCTTTATTAAATGAAGACTAGTCCCAAACTAATGAATTTTCTGCACTGTCTTATGTATCCGAGGTGGATACTACCTACCTGAAATAAAATAGCTAAGAAGAAAAGTCACCAGTAGGGGAAGGGAAAACTCATCTGCACCGTTTAGTATGCACGTGGGAATTTGCCGATTTCTTTCAAAGTACAGACAAGGAACAACAGACAGATAACAACTTTTCATTAAGTCACCTTAGTGCAAAATGTGTCTGTGTGGAAGAATTTTTGTTTTTTAATTCTTGCTAAAAGCATAGTTTTTATTTGCAAATTGAAAGAGAGAAAATTTGTTTTAGGTATTTAAAAAACATACTACTGGCTCCACATATCTAAAGTAAAAGGTATTTATTGTAGCATCATTTTAAGGTAAAATCCTGAAATCAAGTTAAATGTCCTCCAATAAGGAACAAATACATGGTACATTCCTGTGTTCAAATACTGTTGTTGTTGTTATGTGCCCGAGTCAGACCTGACTCATAGCGACCCCTCCTTGGGTTTCCGAGGCAGTATCACTACGGAAGTGGATTGTCCAACCTTCCTTCCTAGGAGTGGTGGTGGGTTTGAACCGCCAGCCTTCTGGTTAGCAGTCAAGTGCCTTAGCCACTACACTACCAGAGCTCCTGTTCACATACTATGTAGTCTTAAAAAGAGTATCATAGGTCTATAAGTAACATAATGGAAAGCTTCAATGAGATACAGGTTTTAGAATTATTTCCATAATATATCACTTTTGTAAAAAAAAAAAAATTATGTACTATAAAATACTATAGTATTTTACATACTATAAAAATGGTATAGAAGGTTATACAACAGTTTATTAACAGTGGATATCTCTGGGGGAAAATGATAATTCCTTTGATATTTCAAAATGAGATTACTAAACTTTTAAACATGAGAAGACACTAAGATTAGGATATCATTCTATAAATTCTGTGAGTTCAGAATCTATTGAATCTATTTTAATTCCCCTTCATATCCACACTATACCTTTGCCTGTTTTCAATCCTGGCACAGTCAGTGCTCAGTGAATATGGGTTGGAGTATGAACAGAATGTGTTGAATAGAACCTATATAAAATTTAAAAAATATTTTTTGAATTTTTAACAAAGAATATGTGACAATTAAAATACAGAAAATTTTTTTAAAAATAGCATTTAAGAATTTACTGATATTAACACCTATTAGGCAAACACCATGAGAGGATCTAGTTGATCAAATATCATATCAAGCAAATATGAGTGAGTGGTGGGGAAATAGATAAATAAAGCAAACAATTGAGCAAAACGCTGGGTGATTTACCTAGTTGTTTTCCTCCCTCCAAGATTCTATCTAACCAAAGATCAGTTTTATATTCTGAAGTACCATGTAATATCAAGTGCCAAATATCATCTGTCAGTTTATTTTCAGAAGTTCTTCTTTTATAAATCTACTGGCAATAGTGTGATAACCAGATTTGTAGCAGTTCAAGCACCATCAAGTACCAAGAGTAGCCAAAGTAGTTCTGGCGTCAGTGCAGGCTCAATAATCACAGATTACATAATTTATTGTCTGTTAATAATTTTCTTATTCATATATAAATCTTAACATCAAATTTATAGAACACTGAGCTAGATTTATTAACTCTTTACGAGAAGAAAAGACTAACATCTGTAACTAGATGGATGTCAAATGGGGATGAGTGGAAAAGCTTAATAAACATGAAAAAACATGGCATGTCCATGCCTACATTTACATTAGAGCAATCAACTAGATAATTGGTCTAATGAGAACCAACCATTATAATGAAGGATAACTGCTCTGGTATGAACCACAGTCATAAGGCAGGTTGATACCTGGAGTTAAACTGAACATTTGGGTGCCAAGAAATAAGCAAGCAAAGAGCCAATTTTTTGATGAACAATCTAAACCTACTGTCAAAATCGCTGGAGATTTTATTTGGCAATATAATTATTGTTATACAAAAGAGTTATCAGGATTTAAAACAAATTAGGAGAATTGTTCAGTACAGGACAGAAACAATGGACTTAGGCAAAGATCGTAAGAAATTAAAGCCAGCCTGAATCCGTTTTTACCACTTTTCAATTTTTTGAAATGTAACAGATTTACAGAAAAGTGCACTCAATTCAGCCTGATGAAAGCAAACGTGCATATAACCACTACCCAGGTCAAGAGAAAGAATACCTCCAGCTCGGTATGGATCCTTTCTTTATTTAAAATTGAGATTTTCTTCTTTGTAGATTTTTGCATAAATTTTGCATAAATTGTATATTTTAAAAGTTACTGCATTAAAAACTATTTATCTTGATGACTGAGTTTCAGTTGCATTCCTGAGGCAAGTATTTCGCTTGCCTTACCCCAGTCCTAGTCCTGCACGGCACCACCAAGCCTCTAACAACCCCTCCAGCAACTCCTCCCCCTGCTGAGGTAACAACTACAGTAATTTTTATAATTATGTCTTTGCTTTTAAAAATGACTTTTCCACCTATGTTTACGTCACTAAATAATATGATTTAGTTTTACATGATTTCAAACTTTATACATACGTATTTCTGTATGTCTGCCGTCTATCTCTATTGCTGCTTTTCCTACAGTTTGTCTATTTTATTACTGTATGACACTCCATTCTTTGAATATACTACCATTTACAGTGTTGTTAATGGATATTATGGTTATATCTGCATGGGATTATTGTACATTGTTATATGTAAGTTCTAGTATGCAGAAAGATTCATTTTTTTAGGACATATAACTAAAAGTAGGAGCTTTGGTGGCATAGTGCCTAAGGCATTTGACTGCTAACCAGAAGTCTGGCGGTTCAAACCCACCAGCCACTCCTCAGAAGGAAGGTTGGGCAATCTACTTCCTTAGTGGTACTACCTCGGAAACCGAAAGAGGGGTCGCTATGAGTTGGATCCAACTCAACGACAATGACTTTGGTTTTGGTATAACTAAAAGTGAAAATGCCGGTCATAGAGTGTGGATAGTGTGAACTTTATTATTTTCTGTATCCATTTTTTAATAGAATAAAATAAACTATGTAAAAAAAAATGTTCATTTAAAAAATACTAGGACCTAGCACTATATAGATTCAAAGAGCTATCAATAACCTCCTACTGAAAGAGATAAAATTTTAGACTCAATAGAAGTGAAAGTAATGAGTAATAAACAGGATACAATTATGGATCATCATTTTGGACTAGCTTCCTATGTTGATTCACATCCAGCTCGTTCTGGAAGCAATCAGAGTTTTATATGCAAAAGGACTGCCAAACCAGGGCCTGTAACATAACAAATGTACGGCTGCTTGCCTGTACAATTCTGTTGGCTTAGAAGGCATTTCCAATGTAATATACAGGTTTCTGCAATTAATTCATTGAAAGAGATTAATGTATCCACTGAATTGGTACAAAGGCTTGTAATCAGTTTCTTTATTGTTACTTGATTCTCCTGTGGGCCTGATAAAGCACTGTTTTCTCTAGCTTTGGTTGTGAATAGCCAGAAGGCAGAGGCTTCACTTTATTTATTTTTGCATCCCCACTATCTATTCAACGCTTAGCACTTACGTGCTATCAAAGATGCCTGTCAAATATATTGAATAGAAAAGCTTTAGACTGGTAGTGACTAATTTGAAATTCATCCTCAGCTTATAAAGTTAGAAACAGAAAACTATTCTTAAGTGAGAATGTGCAATTTATTAACATGGCATAGTTTCCCATTAAAACATAAATTTGTCATGACCTGTGAAATACCAATTTCAATGCTCGAAGCTGTATCAAAGTTTTATGCAATCTAAATGCAGACTCTGCAAATCAACAAAATTCAAACTAATCTACCCTGAATTTATCCTTCACATAGCCTCTACTTCCAGCAGCACTCAATTTTTCAGCCACGGTCCTGTGCTTGCCAAGATAGGAGCACAAAGTCCTCTGGGAGGAGCATAGCCTTCAAATGTCTTTCCACACAAACCTATGGGGAACCTGGCTGCAGCAGTCAAGCCCACCCAGGGTAGAGATGCTGCCGGGATGCCCCTCCCCTTCCCATTCTATCTTTGCAGCATTTCGGCTCCTTGGCAGACTTAATATCTGTTCTGCACAGTGCTCTTAAGTTCTGTGGAGCTCAATGTTTTTTGCTTAACCAGTTTCTCACTTTTCTCTAAACAGCTTTTAATATCATTAGAGAAGGAATTCACAAAATGAAATGCCTAAGGAGTCAGTGGAATAATGATTTCCTTTCTTGGGTGTTCAGGTACTTTGCACCAGGAGGAATGAAAGAAAGAGGAGGAAGACATTTAGGGGACTATGGCCTCCTCCGGGAAGTCCAAGTGTAAGGTTTCACCACTTCCTCTTTCAGTGGATAACACTCACTTGCAAATAATTCCCTACTACACTTCTTTGGTGTTTGACCCAAGGAGAAACATATCCCCTTTTCCTGATTCTCTCCTACACCTTCTCAGTAAGGATAGAGAACTTGGGCACAGTATAATCAAGGACTGAACTCCTTCATTAGCTGTGCATATCTAAATTCTCTAGATTTTCCTTACACTTTTGCTTGTTTATTTGTTTTGTTTAATCTATAAAACTCCCTCTAAAACTCCACATATGATAATAATTTTGATTACTACATGGAACCCTAATGGTGCAGTGATTACATGCTGGGCTGCTAATCAAAAGGTCAGGTGTTTGAGCCCATAAGCTCCTATAACCCATGGGAGAAAGATGTAACAGTCTGCTTCCTTAAAAATTACAACCTTGGACACCCTATAGGGCAGTTCTACTCTGTCTGACAGTGTTGCTCTGAGTTGGAATCAACTCATTGGCAATAGATTTAGTTTTGTTTTTTGATTAGTACAGTAACTATTACTGAAACTTACGGGTTCCTATCTTGAATGCATCTTTTCTAGAATGGGAAGTTGTTTTCTTTTGCAAATTATCTTTCTTGCTGTGCTAACAATTTCTTAGGAGTCTAGGGTACTTTCTATATATAGTTACATAATAACGAACAAAACCCATGTTCTGCACCTGGCCCATGTTTTGGAAAACAGATTTGACATCTTTCAACTTATAGTTAAAAAATGTATCTGACATAAAAGAGTAACTTCTGGCATCCTCCCTATTCAGATTTAAATGCCAGAAAAAAAAAATTCCCCCTAAGTATTAGTTTGACAATGTTGAAAATAAACCCACTGTCACCCATCTGATAAAGAAAACTTACCCTTTTCAATTTGGCAGCAGCCTCTCCAGAACGGATTGCAGTCAGCAAACTCTGTCGGATCTGTTCTGGGTCAGAGCTTTGGAATGTTAAAGAACTTTGTCTCTTAAGGGTGAATGATGGGCAGTCAGTTGGAGATGGTATGTGGGAATTCTGTTCATTATGTAAAGAATTATTTTCCTACAAAAATAAATGCAAAATACATGGATGAACATCAAAAGAAGAATGGGCTATTTATGGGGGGAAATCATCATCATCAATAGTTCTTTACGAAGCACCATATACCACACTGGTATTTCAGAAACAGCTTTAAACTCAAAATCAAAACATGTTTTTGATTTATGAAAATAATACTAAATCTAAATTTTTAAAGGCCATTAGGGAGCTAAGAATTTTTTTCTATTTTTGTTTAAAAGGGAGAAAACATTGGCAGGACACTTGTTCTATATTCTTTTAATTTCCATATGTTCTCAATAACAGAAGGTCATCATGTATACCATTTCCACACAACTTCCAGCATGAATTCACACAGAGAAATTCAGAACACAGCACTTTTCTCATCTACCAAAGAACAACAGAAGATATATATCAGGAAAAATAAAATCACAGCAAGAGAAATGTTATAATTCCCTAGGGCTTTTTCTAAGGGGACTTTAGGTGATGGACATTGCTGGCAAGGACAAAAGCATGAAGATGCAGAATTGGAGAAACTAAGAAAAAGATCTATACTGTCCTACATGCAAAATAGAAGGAAAGAATTCTAGGGAAGGGAGCAGTAGAGACCTGGGATCCTAGAAGAGGTTGTATGATCAATGGTGAAGATGCTTTGTGGGAGAAACAAAAGAGTTAAAGGCAACAATGACAACAAAAACAACAAAAACCCAACTATTACACACACAATTCTACAATAACAGTAATAATAATAATCTATCAGTGGGTATATAGCCACTGATAGATTACACATAAGCTGAACAGGTGTGGGAAGGAGACTGAGACTACATTCATGAATATATATATAGGTTTGACAGAGGATATTTTTATGTATGTATTTATATGGGTGTCAAACACAACCCTGAATAGAGTAGGGGATACATGAAGCAAAGTTATAGAAACTTGTTAGCCATAACCAAATACCCTGAGGGAATGACTTGCTGGACCTGGGGGCCCAGGACCATAGTCTCAGGAGACAAGGTCAATTGCCATAACATAGTCCACTAAGTTCTACATCCTACTTTAGTGAGTAGTGAATAGGCTCCTAAAAGGTTGTGTGTGGTCATCTAAGGGGCAACTATTTTGTCTCTCTCCAGTCAAAGCAAAGAAGAATGAAGAAAATCAAAGACACATGGAAATAATTAGTCCAAAGGGCTAACAGACCAAGCAGACCTCAGCCTCCACAACTCTGAGACCAGAAGAACTGGATGGTACTTGATACCACAGCTGATCACTCTGAAAGGGATCACAATAAGAGATTGGATATCCTGGATTGAGTGGGAGAAAAATGTGGAACAAAACTCAGAATCATAAAGAAAAGACCAGGTTTACTAGTCTGATAGAAAATGATTGAACCCCTGATACTATGGTCCTTAGTTACCCTTCAAGTCTGGAACTAAACTCACCCCCTGTAGCTCATCTTTCAGCCAAACAATAGGCAAGCCTTTAAGGTGAACAGTAACACCAGACAGGTATGTACTCCTTAGAACAATCAACTATATGAGATCAGAAAGGCAGCATTTGCTCAGGAATAAGGTTCAAAAGGCAGGAAGGGAAAGGGAGGGAGGGCAGGTGAAATTATAAACATGAGGAGGAAGTGAGAAAAGGGCTGTTACATTGTGGGGATTGCAATCAATGGCGTGAAACAAAAATGTGTATAAACTGTTGAATGGAAAACCAGTTTCCCTGTAAACTTTCACCCAAATCACAACAAAAAGTTTAAAAAAGAAAAAAAAAAAAGATTTTCCTGGAGGATTTTGCATTTCATTTTGTTTTTTAATTAAGTTTGTTGACTGGTGTGCAGGTAACCTCTTCTGTGAAAGGAGGATATACTTGTTGAGGATTTCTCTCTCCACTACACATCCCGTACTTATGATTACCAACTGAGCTCCAGAAACTCTTCTAGGCTCTCTTTTAGGGCACAATGTGACAGCATAAAACAAGAGAGAAGATTCCTGGGCTTAAGGACCTGTGTATATGACAAAGTATTAAATCCTATTTCACTGTAGATACTGTAAGGAGAACAAGACTGTCCCTGAAGACCAGTCAAAACTGGGTTCCAACAGGGATAGGACTAAAATGGGAGTACCTACATCAAGATCAAGGACTAAGGAGAGAAGAGGGATCTTGGCATTGGGGTGCTGAAGTAAAGACAGACTTTAGCCAGGAGCTCATAAAGACTGAAAGCAGCGATAACCCTCAAAGAAAGTAAGAGATGTCAGCACTTCCTCATTGCTCACTCCTCACCTCCTATCTGCCCACTGCTTATCAACAGCTCTACTTCCTCAGCCACTAAACTGTCTCTGCTGACCGAGCTAGGTTGGAAGATGAGGATATTACTTTCCCTTCTCGTGGGCTAAGAAGACTAAGAAAGAGAATTGCTACCTTTCTGTTTCATAAATGCAGTGGGAATTTTACTAAGTTTGAGCAAAATAATACTGAACCCCTATGTAAGGGGTTGACTAGAACAGCAAAATTAGTAAGATACTCCACAAACAAAAAAACAACTCATTTTTATGGTTCCAATATATTAGCTTATAAAGTTACTATTTTTGAGGGTCCAAAATGGTCAAATATTGTCAATTTGATATATGTTCTCATAAAAGAAAAATTAAATACTATGTACACAAAATAGTTTGTGTTTCTGGAAGATACAAAGTCTAAGTACTAACCGCGTTTTCTTTACTTTCCCCATGAAACTAGGTGTTTTTTTTTTTTTTTTAAATAGTAATTTTATGAGGAACCAAATGTGGTAAAGTTCTTAGGAAGAAATATTTAATAAATGATTTAACTGGCAAAGCTTTCAAATAATTAATCTTGAATTTTTCTTTTTCAAACTGCCAAATATATATCTTTATAAAAGATGTGCTAAACAGAGCTCAGGCAATGGCTAAAGAAAGAAAAAAATAATGTATTATCTAAATCAGCTTCCACTGTTTAGGAATGGTATTCCATTCCAAGATAAAACACAGACTTTGTTCCCAAGAATTATTCACTAGATCATACATATCTTCTTGACACTGCATCAACATAATAACCATAAATATAAAATACGCAAAGAAATATTCTTCGAGATAAATATTCCTTTGAAATTATGGAAAAATCTTTACTTGGCAATATGGTTAGTGTTCTGTTATTCTAAGAATGTTTGAAAAAGTTGTATAAAATACTTCTAGAACTGTCACACAAATATGAAAAGATTCTTCAAACACTATCAGAATAAAAGGGCACAAAGTATTTCAAAAAAATTGCATATGGATTATGATTTGTGCTGTGAATTTTGTTTCCTTTGTCTATACTGTCTGAACCTATCAAATTACAGCACCCAGTTGAGAAAACTTGCTTGCTGAAAGTGAAGATGACTTGAAAAGCCCTTATTGACAAAGATCAAAGACTACATACAGTCTCAGAATGGACTACACCTCAACAAAAGAAAACAAAAATGCTTACAACTGGTCAATAAGCAACATCACAATAAATGGAGAAAAGATTGAAGTTGTGGAGATCTCATTTCACTGGATCCACAATCAACACCCGTAGAAGCAGCAGTCAAGAAATCAGCTGTCATAATGCACTGGGCAAATCTGCTGCAAGGGAGCTCTTTACAGTGTTCAAGAGCAAAGATGTCACTTTGAAGACTAAGGCGTGCTTGATCCAAGCCATGGTATTTTCAATCACCTCTTATGCATGTGAAAGCTAGACAATGAATAATGAAGACCAAAGAAGAGCTGATGCCTTTCAATTGTGGTGTTGGTGAAGAATACTGAAAATACAATGGGCTGCCGAAAGAACAAACAAATCTGTCCTGGAGGAAGTACAGCCGGAATGCTCTCTAGAAGTGGGAATGGCCACACTTTGTCTCACCTACTTTGGTCATGTTGTCAAAAGGGACCAGTCTCTAGAGAAGGATGTCAGGCTTAGTAAAGTACAGAGTGTAAAAGGGGAAAACTCTCAACAAGAAGGACTGACACGGTGGCTGCAATAATGGGCTCAAGTATAGTAAGGATTGTGAGGATGGCACTGGACTGGGCAGTGTTTCCTTCTGTTGTGCACAGGGTCCCTACGCATCAGAGCTAACTCGATGGCACCTAACAACAAACAACAACAACAATTTGAACAAACATTAAGTCAACAAGCTTCCATATTGGTAAATAAATTAGGCAAAAAAAAAAAAAAAAAAGCTGCAATTTAATTGACTCCAACTCATGGTAATTCCATGTTTGTTAGAGTGGAACTGTGTGCCATAGTTTTCAAAGGCTTATTTTTCAGAAACAGTTCTCCCAAGCCTTTCTTCTCATGCACCTCTGGGTGGACTCGAACCTCCAAACTTTTGGTTAGCATCCGAGCAACACCCAGGGCTTGTCAATATACATATAACTGGTGAAGCTGACACTGAGTCAACTAGACAGGGAAATAAAAATATTACATTTTTTTAACTCTGCTTTCAGTTTAAATGTTTGCAAGTAAGTACTTGTTAAGTTGAAGTTGCATGTATATGATAGGAAATGCATAGCTGAGAGATCTCTGGTTATTTTTAGCCAGTCTTTAATGCTACTTACATTCCCTTATAATTAAAGCTATTTATTTTGCTACTGTGTAGTTACTATTGAATTTAGAAAAAAAAAAATAAAGTAAATCAAGGCATCCAGAAAAGTTATATTTAAAAAATAGGGACAGCAAAACAGCACGATTAACTAGTACATTACACAAATGTATGAACAAAGAAAGTTTAAATTGAAACATTTAATAATGGTACAATTATCTATTGATGGGGGGAAAAAAAGTTGCCATGGAGTCATTTCTGACAAGATGAGAGCCTATGTATGTCAGAGTAGAACTGTGCTCCACAAGGGTTTCAGTATCAGGTTTTTCTGAAGTATTTTGGCAAGGCTTTCTTCCAAGGTGGCTCTGGGTGGCTTGAGCAACCAACATTTTGGTTAATAGTTGAGCACTTAACTATTTATATCACCCCAAGGACTCCTTGTAATGAGGACCTTAGGGTAATATTCACTGAAGTTACAAGACTTACAATTCTCAGACTAAATAAGTAAAGTCCATGTATTACCACTTTTTTCCCCTACAGTAGCTTGATATCAGACTATGAATGCAAACAATGTAACATGCAAACATACCAACATGCTTGTTAAACTCCATTTTAACCATGTTTTATAAAAATCTGAATATACATTTTAAAAAAGTAGTATTTACCTTATCAATCACACCAAGTTGTGAGATGTCCACAAATTTGTTGTCAGAGCTAGCCTTCCCCTCCTCTGAGTTGGTTGGAGACTGGGCAGATGTACCATCACTGAATGACTCTTTGGAGGCAGTACGTGTTTTACTGAAAGACTGTGACCTCTTCACTACTGCCAGGGCAAATGGTGAAGGAGCAGAGCTTGAGTATGGTCGTGGGGCACCAAAAGTTTTCAACGTCTTCAAATTCTGTGCTGCTAACTGACTAGTGGGAATCGGCACAGGTTTTGGAGCAATTGGAGGAGGAGAGATTTCGACAGGCTTCTGACCAATGATGTTATCATCAGATTTTTTAATAAGGGGTTGTGGTGGAGGGTTAGCTGTTTTACTTACGAAAGAAAGACTTTGCTCTGGAGAAGGCAGTGGATTCCTTTCCACCTCTTTATGTGTAAGTTCTTTTGGAATAGGATTAGGGGCAGCATGGACAGTCTTGGCAGCTGCAGATGTCACGTACTGACCTGCTACTCTTTTTTGCATCTGCAAGAAAAAAGAGCTTGGTTTGGCCTGTGGATGTGAAATCCTAGATTTAAGTTTGGACTCCAGAATACTGTTGATGTCTTCCACATTTGGTACAAACGGAGCTGTGCCAGCGTCTCTGGTCATCCTGGGAGTAGGCTTCAGGTGATCAGCAGCTGTACCATCAGCTGTGCTCCCCAGCCTGTGCACCTCATTATCTGACCCCAGGTTAGGTTTCAGTTTAAGGTCTGGCTGAGGTTGCTTTGAGCCTTCAGAAATAACAAGATTTCTTTGGACTGCAGTTTCTTTCACATTTTCGTGTGTGTGCTTTTTTTCTAAAGGATGCATCTCCTGATCATTTTTATGCCCTATGGTTTCTGACTCCCAGTCTTTCAGTATTTCCAGGGATTTGGGAGGTACAATTTTATAAGTAGTCATTCCAATTTTGGGTATATAACATCTTGTAATTTCATCTGATGGTTTAGGCTTGGGTTTGTAATCTTGTCTATGAAATGGATAATTCTTTAGATGAGAAGCATTTGAATTTTTATCAGTCCCATCTACAGGAGTCAAAAGATCATCATTACCAGGTGCACAATTGGAATCTTTTGTGGTGAGTTTGTTTTCTTGTGCAATTAGTGTGTCCTGACTCCGGAATTCTCCTATGGTGTCTACAGAATTTTGTGCACATAAGGATGAGTGTTGAGTTGATTGGCTGTTATTTGAAGTCTGCACACTTTCATCAACTCTGAAGTCAGAAAGAGGATGGTCTTGATGAGTACCATCAAAACTGTTACAGGAAGGGGTTGTCTGAATTGCTGCATCTTGCATTTTTATTTTTTCTACAATGACTTGATTAAGCTTTTGATCTGGCACTGATGAAGATGCTAGATGATTTTCCTTGTAATTTATAGCAGGATCAGTTTCATATGCCTGGTAGTTTGATACTCTGTCAACTTTTATGTCCATGTCGCTATTTTTGGCAACATATGCTACATTCATTTCTGTCTTCCTCACCCCATTTTTATTATCTTCTGTTTTCAACGGAAAGGCAATTACTTCATTTTGATCTATTAAGAGAAAAATATATCCTCAAGTTAAATATATTTTTAAAAAAGGGAAGGAAGGAAAAAATAAAAAAAGAAGCTTTCAAAACCTGCCTCCTCAAAGTGAACTAACTTGGTTTAAATTCTACAGGTAATCTCTGTTCACTAATTATATAAAGGCAGGTAGGGGCAACAGAATATTGAAGACCTCAGTTTGGAACCTTGCTTGAGCAGGTTAAGCATGTTACTTAAGCCCCTGGGGCCTCTCAGTTTGTTCATATTTTAAAAGGTGAAAGTATGTATTATATTTTATAACACTATTAATAGGAAAACAAACTTAGAACAAGCATTCCATAGACAGTAGCTATTCTTCTTCTAAGTAAGGACCTCATATTTCAGTCTTTGTAAATGATGACAAAAGCAAGAAATAAACAAATTCAAACATTATAATTTTTCCTCTTTCATATTTTCCATTTTGATTCTTCTATATTTCCTAGTTTATTTATGTTCATACCTTATATTGAAAGGGAAATAATTCCAACTTATATGAGTTTTAATTATGGAAGACAATAGAAAGCATTACCTTTAAGATTTTAAATAAAAACTGAATATAAGTTGATTGTCTTGTTAATTAGGTGTCATTGCTGAAGACTTTTAGAGGACTTTGTTTATGGTCTTCTCACATGGGTGATTACAACTACATTAAAACAATCACGTTTATTTTGAGTTTTCTCTGAGGAAACAGGATACTTATTCTTTACAAGTCAGAGCCCAAGTGGAGAGAACAATCTTCCCCTCCTTGTGCTACTTTCTCTCTCGGTTCTAATTCAGTTATCTTGAAAAATGAAAACCATTTGCCAGTAATCTAGGTTGGGAAAGAATAGTGAAAGTACCAAGGACTGCCAAAAGAACCAACAAATCTGTCCTGGAAGAAGTGCAGCCAGAATGCTTCTTGGAAGCTAGAATAGCCAGACCTACTTGGGTCATGCTGTCAGAAGGGACCATTCCCTGGAGAAGGATATCATGATCAGTAAAGTCAGTGAAGAAGGGGAAGGCCCTCGATGAGATGGATTGACAAAGTAGCTGTAATGACAGGCTCACGTATAGCAAGGACTGTGAGGCTGGCACAGGACCGGGCAGTGTTTCATTCTGTTGTGCAAAGGGTCGCTATGAGTAAGAGACGACTCAATGGCACCTAACAATGACAGGTTAACAGAGCAGCAGTTGCCAGTCAATAACATGATGGCAAAGCACCAGAGTAAGGTACCTGGAGTTAACAGGTTAATGAGTGTGTACTATGTCTCTAGTTCTGAACTCCATGATTTATATACTTGTTTCTTTATTGGAATGCACAGAGGAATCTCCACTCATGTGTCACCATCAATCAGTACCACCTTCAAAACCCTTAGTGACTTTCCCTTTTCAGATATGGTAATTGCAAGCTGAAGTGAAGTATGGGTCTTGGAAGACAAGTCATGAATGGATGTCAAGTATTTTCTATAGTTTTATCATCACCCTTTTTCACCAGTACCAGGATGAGAGCACATTTACTGTCTAGAATGTTATGTAACTTAAAAGTAGTTTCTATATTAAAAAAAAATGAAAAGGAAAGGAAAAAAGAAAGATATGCATGCAAGGAAATTATTTTTCCAGGTAAATTTGTGAACACTTTTAAAAATTATCTTCACATTTTTTACCCTAATTGTAAAATTATTTGGCCACAGTAGTTAATATTATTTTATGTTTTGTTGCAAGGTTCCTATATCAAATATATGATTTAAAAATAGCATTTGTTTTTGCTCTTTCAAAATAGAATAAAAATAACAACTATTGGTCTTTATTTGTCTGGAGCAAAAGAGAAATAAGAAAGACTAAAAGAATAAACTAGTTTATAGAATAGCTCACAAAAAAGATAACTATCTGAGACTAGAAGAACTAGAAGGTGCCTGGCTATCAATAACAACCATTCTAACCAGGGAAACAATAGATGGTCCTGGAAAGAATGGGAGAAAAATGTAGGACAAGCTTCAAATTCCTGAAAGAAAAAAAAAAAAAAAAGCAGGGGAGAGAATTACTGGATCAGTAGCAACTCTGGAGGACCCCTCTGAGAGTATCGCACTGAGAAACCCTTTAAAGTTGGAACTGAACCTACTCCTGGTAATTACCTTTCAGTCTAAAAATAGACTGGCCCATAAAGTACCATCATCCATGAGTACAGTGCTCCGTTGAAATAATCATCTGTTGTTCTTGTTAGGTGTCGTCAGGTTGGCTTGGACTCATAGCAACCCTATATAAAACAGAACAACACACCGCCCACTACTGGACCATACCCACAATCCTTGCCATGCTTGAACCCATCATTGTAGCAACTGTGCCACTCCATCTTGTTGAAGGTCTTGCCTGTTTTCACTGACCCTCTAATTTACCAAGCATGATATCCTTCTCCAGAAAATGGTTCCTTCTGACATGACCAAAGTGAGACCCAAGTTTGGCCATGATTGCTTCTAAGGAGCATTCCTGCTGCATTTTCCCAGAACAGATTTGTTGGTTCTTCTGGCAGTCCATGGTATTTTCAGTATTTTTCACCAACTCCACAATCCAAAAGCATCAATTCTTCTTTGGTCTTCCTTATTCATTGTCCAGCTTTCACACACATATGAGGTGACTGAAAATACCATGGTTTGGATTAGATACATTTTATTCTCCAAAGTGACATCCTTGTTCCTTAAAACTTTAAAGAGGTCTTTGGCAGATTTGTCCAATGCAATACATCTGATTTCTTAACTGCTGTTTCTATGGGTGTTGATTGTGGATACAAGTAAAATGAAATCTTTGACAACTTCAACTTTTTGCCATTTATTATTATGTTGCTTATTTGTCCAGTTGTGAGGATTTTTGTTTTCTTTATGTTGAGTATATCCATAATGAAGACTACACTATCTTCATATCTTCATCATTAAGTGCTTTAAGTCCTCTTTACCTGCAAGCAAGCAAGGTTGTATCATCTGCATATTGCAGGTTATAAATTAGTCTTCCTCCAATCCTGATGCTGCATTGTTGAGCTTCTCAAATTATTTGCTCAGCATACAGATTGAACAAGTATGGTGAAAGGATACAGCCCTGACACACAACCTTCCCGATTTTAAAACATGAAGTGTCTTGTTATTCTGTTTGAACGACAGCCTCTTGCGCATGTAGAGATTCCTCATGAGCACAATTAATTGTTTTGGAATTCCCATTCTTTACAACATTTTCCATGATTTGTTATGATCCACACAGTCAAATGCCTTTGCATAGTCAATAAAACACAGGTAATCATCTTTCTGATATTTTTTATTTCATCCAAGATTCGTCTAACATCAGCAATGATATCCCTCATTCCACATCCACTTCTGAATGCAGCTTGAATTTCTGGAAGTTCCCTGTCAATATATTACTGCAACTGTTTTTGAATTATCTACAGCAAAATTTTACTTGCGTGTGATATTAATATTGTTTGATAATTTCCACAGTCTGTTCAATCACCTTTATTTGGAAGGGGTACAAATATGGATCTCGTCCAGTCAGTTAGCCAGGTAGCTCTCTTCCAAATTTCCTGGCATAAACAAGTAGGTGCCTCTAGTATTGGATCGTTTGTTGAAACATCTCAATAGATATTCCGTCAATTCCAGGAGCTTTGTTTTTCACTAATTCACTCAGTACAGCTTAGACTTATTCTTGCAGTACTACTGGTTCTTGATCATATATCACCCTCCCTGAAACAGCTGAACATTGGCCAATTCTTTTTGGTACAGTCACAGTGTATTCTTCCCCTCTTTTGATGCTTCCTGCATTATTCAATAGTTTGCCCATAGCATCCTTCAATATTGCAACTTGAGGCTTGAATTTTTTCTTCAGTTCTTTCAGCTTAAGAAATGTCAAGTGTGTTCTTTGATTTTCTATCTTCAGGTCATTAAACATTTCATTATAATACTTTACTTTGTCTTCTCAAACTGCCCTATGAAATCCTCTATTCCGATCTTTTATTCACCATTTCTTCCATTTGATTTAGCTAATCTCCATTCAAGAGCAAGTTTCAGAGTCTGTTCTGACATCCATTTTGGTCTTTTATTCTTTTAATTATTTTTTGCTTTCTTTGTGTATGATGATCTTGATGTCATCTCACAACTCATCTGGTGTTCAGTCACTGGTGTTCAATGTGTCAAATCTGTTCCTCGGATGGTCTCTAAATTCAGGTGGGATATAATCAAGGTCATATTTTGGCTTTTGTGGACATGTTTTAATTTTCTTCAGCTTCAACTTGAACTTGTATATGAGCAATGGATGATCTGTTCCACAGTCAGTTCCTGGCCTTGCTTTAACTGATGATATTGAGCTTCTTCATCACCTCTTTTCAGATGTAGTTGCTCTGATTCCTGTGTATTCCATCTGTTAAGGTCCACATGTATAGTTACTGTTTATGTTGCTGAAAAAAGTTATTTGCAATGAATAAGTCATTGGTCTTGCAAAACTCTATCATGCGATCTCTGGTGTCACTACTATCACCAACACCATACTTTCCAACTACCAATGATTCTTCATTTCCAGTGATTTTGCTTCCAATGATTCTTATTCATATTCCAATTACCAGAAATAATCACTACATCATAACTGCATGTTTGGTCGGTTTTGGATTGCAGAAGTTGGTAAAAATCTTCAATTTCTTCATCTTTGCCTTTAGTGGTTGGTGTGTAAATTTGTATACTAGTAGTATTAATTGGTTGTCTTTGTAAGCATTTGGATATTATCCTATTACTGACAGCATTATACTTCAGGATAGATCATAATATGTTCTTTTTGACAATGAATGCAATGCCATTCCTCTTCAATTTGTCATTCCCGACACAGTAGATCGTATGATTGTCTGATTCAAAATGGCCAAAACCAGTCCATCTAAGGTTATCAATGCTTAGAATATCTATCTTTAGCTGTTCCATTTCACTTTTGACAATTTCCGATTTTCCTAGATTCACCCTTGGTACATT